AGGTCAGATTTGTAGTCAAAGTAGAGACCGATGTCTATCTCATGTTACACAACTGTACATTGTTGTACATGGAAGTAGAGCTGTGCTTCTTTTTTCAGGAAGAAGAAAGCATGATCACATGACACCACTGTTCTCCCTCTACTGGCTTCCAGTCAGTAGTTTTACAGCTTATTTTTAAGACCATATTCAGCAAAACTTTTCAATCATCACACCCAAGCTGCACTGAGGTCGACCACCCAGATGTTGTTGGATTCCTGAAATCCAGGTGCAAAAATAATATAATAACAATACTCCTAATCTCTGGAAGAGTTCACCTCTTTGTGGATAAACTGCTGAGATTTTATAGACTTCTAAGTCACCTCGTTGGCATTCAGTTCAAGCAGAGCTTGACATCCTGATGCTTTTTAACTGTGGTTAACTTTATATCCCTATTTTTTAATAGTCTTTAATCCTTGTGTTTTATAACCTGCTATTTTAACCACACAGCTCCGTGGTTCAACTATTGGTGCTGAAATGTGCTTTATGAATAAATCTGACTTTGACAAGTTCTTCTTCTGATGATTCCTATCACCGCCGTCGGCTACAACATGAACAGCACACACTGTCACATCTAAGGCCAGTGTCGAAAATCCATAATAAGTCATTAATGTAGAAAATCTAACCTGCAATGTGGAGCGTTTGTGTCCTTCACCTGGCTGGGAGACGGACTAGACAACCACTGCTGCTGCATCCTTATGAAGCTTTCCTCACCATTGATCACCATCGTGTTTGGACTGTAAACTTTCTTCTGAACACCAACTTTCTTATTCATCTGGAGAATTAGAAACTTTTCTTGGACATTTGCGGGGTATTTCTGTGTAGGCTTCACCTTCCTGCTAGTCGCTGCATCTTACATCACCGCTGTGCTACAGTTGCTCACCTCTTCAGCTCCGACAAACCGGTTGTTGCTTGATAAAGTAAATGTATTAATACCTGAATTAAAACACTGTGAAATACATAATATAGATAGATTTATCTGGCACTGATAGGCTAAATCGACATTGTGTAAACTCAACAGTATATTGCTTAAATAATGCCCGATGCAACAGTCTTGCACTCAGCTTTAAGGTAAATGGATTTAAAACATTTTTTTAGGATAATATTAAATTTATTTATTTAACATTTTCTTTACAATCACATCTATTTGGTTTAATGTTTATCGTTGAAATGCTGACAGTCTTTCATGTCATTGCTGAAGCTTGATTTAACAACCATGTTAAGAAAAGGCTTATACAGAACAGAAAACCAAAAGTAATCAGTAATGACAAGCTGATGGACAATGTGAATCATTTATAAGCTACAGAGTCACATACGGCACTCACAAGCTGGTATACACTAAAAACGGCTACACTGAGCTAAAATAAAATAAATCAGACATTCAATGAGTGGCCAAAAATATGACTTCAAATTATTGATAATGTTGCTCTGTATCTGCTGGATGTAGATGTGCGACTGTTTGCCAACAAGCTCATCATTTATCAACATAAAATCTGATGATACATCAATTCTGTGTTCACACTTTTTCTACGCTCTCGAGTGGCCAAAGATTCACTTACCGCAGGTTTAATAAAGAATGAAATTGATCAGCAACAATATCGTACAAACAATCAGTGGTAATCATCCATCATGTTGAACAACAACTGTAAAAAAAACTCATTTGTAAAGTTGTTATGAAGTTTTCCTGTCAAAGTACATTTTTAATTAAAGGCCTTAAAAAGGTTCAGGAGCAAATTTCTGTCCACAGATCTACATTAGTAACATCGGTCACAGATGTATAAATACATTTCTCCCTTTGTATGACACATTCAAGTGGGTTTAAATTGCTCAAAAGGTCCTCGGAGCCAAAGTGGAAATACTTAAAGCCGGAGAATGCAGCTGGGCTTTAATGCGGATAACATGCTCCAGTGGAGGGACTGACTCAGGGCCAGAGGACGTGTGATCCCTTCACCCTGCACAGACACACAGCGGCAGGATAAAATCTCACTGCTTCACACAGAGAGCCAATAGCTGCCTGATAAAAACAACCCACAATGTTAGGAAGCTAAACACAAACTAACAGCGCTAATTATTCAGTCCTCATTCTAGCTGCATGTGCTGGTACAGCATCTGGCACACACTCGCTCCCAGAAAAACCTTCTTAGCCGACTCCCTGGTCTCCTCCAGGTGACTGAGGTAGCGCTTCAGCAAGCTACTATAAAACGCTCATCAATCACGGAGGCTAATCTCAGGTTCTCGCTGGCACTTTCATTGTGCAGGCCTTTTCTATAAGGCTGCCTCCACATAATGCCCCGCGCTGCCTGCTTTGACAGGCCGGCAGCCCCGCAGCTCCCCGGCCATGAGAGCCATTCTCAAGTGGCACGCCTTTGAAGTGAAGCAGTGGCCGGGCTCGAGCTAATCTGGACATCTGGAGGCCCGGTGGGCGAGGCAGGACAGGGGCAAAGAACCGGCATATAGGTGACCTCAGCTGGGCTTTGTGGGGAATGAAAATAACCATTTCACCGCTTCCACGGATTGGAAATCCAACAGAAAGAGGCTCAAGTTTTTAAACTTCACGCTGCTTTTACGCTGAAAGTTGAACTAGAAAGGACCAAATGGCACACGGTGCTTTATGTCAATCTTCGGTTCCATTAGCCAGAGTTCAGAGCTGCAACACGGACGAGGCGGCTTCAGAGCACAAAGGGAGAACAATACGACAAAAAAAAAAAGAAATGCCAGAAAGACAGAGGGAAATGTCTGCTATACGGCGTGGAGGGGCAGAATGTATTTCAAAAAAACATCCTGGCCACCTCCAGTTTTTGTGTTTCTGTCCTCGATATTTTCTTTTTTTTTTTTTTTTTGGTCTTCCAATCTTCGTCACCACTCTTGGCAGATGAAACACAAACAGCCCTATTCAAAAATAAACACAGCAATTTTGTGCGTGTTTACCTTTCATTCGGCCGTATCTATCGGTTATTCTGTGCTGCAAACTGCTCTGTTCCATTTCACGCCGTGAGGAAGACCCTGTTTCTTGGCCCACTGTACAGATGAGTGGTCAGATAGCGAGCGCCGTTATTACACAACATCATTTCGATCTCGCCTCCTCTCGCTTTCTGTTGTTCTTTAATGAATGCACGCTGACCTGACTGTGAAGTTTTTATCAGAGCTGCCACGAGGATACATTTATGAAAGCGGTTTATTTTGGTGCTGCGGAAAGTGGCACATATATTTCTATATGCGAAAAAATGTGTGTACAGACACACAGCGTCTCTGATTAAAACATCTCCGAGGCATGTAAATAGAGATCTTGTCTCCTTTAAGATACATGATAGGAATAATTCTCTGCACGGAGCCTCATTCAAAAGCTTGTACAAACCGTTTCAGTTTTGTTTTATGTGTACAATCAGAGATGAAGTTCGATTCTCCCTCACTTGTCTTCATTATGTTATGCATTCCTCTGCAACGCTGAATGCATTCTAAGTTTGATTTCATAATTAACTCTGTAATGTCTGCTTCGATGGCAGTTACTGATTATATCTAACTCTACAGAACCCTGTGGCAACCCTCACAGGATTCATGTGTAACAATGAACCTGTGAAAAAGCCAATCATTGTTATTTCTTACACAAAACACTTGTATTAAAGCCTTTTGTCCTCCCTATAGAATAGATGAATATTGGTTCCTTGGATCAACAGAAAAGACCAAACACTAAAATGTGATATAATATTCTTTTTTTTAAATAAATGATTGAACAAATCAATGAAAGAACAGAAGAGATCCAGAATTACTCTGTTTTTCATAGTACAAAACTGTAAAAACAGCAATAATCTTTGGATTTTCTGATGGTTCTGTAACTAATCATGTGTGATCTTCTGATCTCATTAGGAAAAACAACCAAATCTATGCTGATAATTGTGATATTTCATCAAAAATCACTCTATTCTAGCCAGTTTTAAACATGCCTAACAAGTGTTTGCAGTAACCAGATTCTGTTAAAAACTGAAAAGTTATACATTTGCTGCAGTGAACAGCAATGATGTTTTTGCTGCACTTGGTTGAACTGCAGGCTGTGTGTGCACAGAGCAGACAAGAGATCCTGATGGAAACTATTTAGAAACATAAGTAGTAAAATATCTACAGTATGTAGGATCACAATGTTTTTCCATCATTGGATTTCTTTTTTTTTTTTCTTGTAAAATAAATTATTAATCTTTCTTTTTTATTCTGATTAATGTCAATATAACTGTCATACAGCACACCAGGCATTTTTGAGTTCTCTCCACTTCTAGTCATTGTTGTGCTGGTTCCATAGAGGTGCATGAATTTATATTGTAGAGAAAAACAAAACCCACAGTGAGTAAAAAGGGGTTAAAATCATCCTTCTTTCTTGGCAGTTCAAATGTGCACCTCAGCATGAAAAGGGGAACTTAAAAAAGTACTTAGATACACTAAAATAATCAAGTTAAACATCAGTTCTACATTGGGCATATAGTTTCCGTAACAGTTGTCATATTATAGAAACTCTGCTAGATTTCAGCTGCAGATGCTGGATTTCTCCACCCTGTGGACATGTAACATGAGTGAATGTACACTACAGACAAACTACCATGTTGGCAGCAGAGCAAAGGAATAAAAGCCAGTGTGTCCTTTTATCTGAATAATTAAATCCAAAGTCTGACTAAGGCTGAAACCGACACTAGAATAAAGACCAGCTCCTTCTTCAAGTCTAAATAAATCAGCAGCTACAGCCCAAGTCACACACATTTCTCACAACCAAGCCCGTCCTCTCACTTCGCTCTCAGTCCAAATGCTTTGTTCAAAAATAAATGACAATAAATGTGAAACTAAAATAAGCTCTTGGTGGTCCAGAACAACAGAAAGAGCTGCTCCCTGAATGAAAATGCAAGTTTTAACCACAGCAAAACAGTTTCCTTGCCTCCATGTTAGAGCATTTATATAAAACAAGCTTATAGAGGATGTCTGACCTTGGATGGAGACCTTTGGATGCTCTTTCTTTGTGCACTCTGGTTGGGTCAGCGGGTCAAACAAGGACGGGCTCGGGGTTGTCGGGAATGCAGAGTTCTGCGTTACCACGGCTGGGAGGAGGAGGAGGAGGAGGAGGAAGAGGCCAGCCATAGACGAGGGGGCGGAGTCCTGTGAGGACGCAGTCATGGTGATGACCTCTCCTCTAACTGCCAAGGTGGGCCTCTGGGATACAGCTGCAGGAGAGGAAAGACAACTTCAGCACCTCAATGCAACATTTTTTACACTTGGCTTCAAAGAAAAGAAGTTCTTTCTGAGTCACTTCAAAATCATTTTTTTTCCCCCCCTTTCAAACTTTCAATTCCTCGGGGCTTCCTGTTCTGAATCCAGCACAGAACAGAGAGAGAATGAAAAAGTGATGCAAAGGAATAAAAATTTTGGTAGAAAGGACATCACCGTGGGATGAAAAAAAAACAAAAAAAAAAAACGGATGTTAGATAACTAGAGGGGGGCCGAAAAGACGCGCTATAAAGCTGTGTAAACTAAAATACAGGAAATAAAAGAAAAAGAATGGAGACCTGTGAAGGACACAGGAAAGTAGGAAAACTGCCCAGAAGATTTTTACACTTCAGCAACGAGCCTTTTCAAAGAAGTACCTAACCTCTGACCTTAGGATAATTATTTCAAACGTGCTGTTAAACTCTAAAAGTTCATTTAATGGCTGATTAAAATTGAAAAATTGAATGCAATCACGGACTGTTCAATGAGGCGGACGTTTCCACAAGTCAATGAAGCAGAAATGAGTTCACATAAAATTTGTGGCTCTTAAGAGATGGGCCGGAAAAACATTTGCACAACTTAACTTGCTGCAGACTCCTGACATCCCGGCATTTTTTACTGCACGTGTCTCGATATGCCAGTGATCTCCCATCAATCTCTCGCTTCGAGCATTATGTAAGACGACCGAGCCCGGAGAGCAAGACGTACACACAAAACACACACATACAGACGCTCTCATACTTCCTGAGTAAATGTAATCTCCTCCAGTCATAACATATGAGTCGACAGTGCAGAGCTGAAACCGGCAGTTCATCATCCCACCGCCCCGCGCTCCTTACGATGTTAGCTTAGCGAGGTGTAATATCATTAAAGTAGATTAAAAACTGAGAGCATCAACTTTCTGCAGCACTTTGGCTTGGGTTACATCTCTCTGTAGTATTTTCCTCACTAATGCTTCAATCAATAACAAATTATTAGCTTGGTTGAGTTGCAAATCAACCATATTGCCCTGCAATCAATTATCCCTCTCACTACAGCTGGTAACTAATTAGGCAAATGCACACAGCGCCCATGTTTGTCATTGCAATACAGTGGAGTCAACAGGCCCCCTAAGCTTCTGCCAACTAAAATACTGCTGATGAAACAGGTGGAAGTGTTCAATGTACTCTGCACTCGATTCGACTCACTCTCAGGCTGGATGTGTTTCAAGTTTAAGTGCTGTTCAGACCACAGATAGCAAAAAAAAAAAACAACCCTCTGCACTGATGTGTTGCGAAAGATGCAAATGAGACGATGAAATTGATCCAGTTTGAGTAATTCGTCCGTATGTTTCAGGTTTCGTGGTTGGCTTTGAAAATGCTGTTATTGTGTTTCCCAGCAATAGAAAAAAAAGCTTGAATCTTGCCTATGAGGCGCATCGAGACCACTTGAGCCGGCAGATTTATGCCGCTCTTGTCAGACAGATGTTTGGTTTTTGTTGTGTCGACAGCAAACATGAATACTGGAGTGCATCATCAAGTCAAGACTCTCTAAGTGCATCATATATCGTCTCGTCTACACCATCCCTCTCTCTTCTCTACCTTTGTTTCTTTCCCCCTCCTGAGTTTCTGTGTGTTTCCTGTCACTGTTTTCACGACTGAGTGGTTCTACATGCTGCTACTCAGAGACCTCCAGCGCCGCAGATTTTTCAGCTTTGTCTTGCTCGGCTCATATTTGATTACCTAAAATATTGTGTGTTGAAAGCAGATAAAGATAAAGTCCAACACAAAAGGTACCCTTGGTAGGTTTTCATCACCTGACCAGCCATGTGACCCGCCTCCTGCCTGCATGACTGTTTGCTTCATTAGTTTTTGGCTTCAATTTGCAGCTTAACATGCAAGCTAACTGGCTTTTAGTTGTAATTGCTGCGTTTGGATCCTTTTACCTGCAGCCAAAACCCTGGCAAGATCACATTACAGCCTGAACTCTGCAGTCGGGTAAAGAGGAGTTTTCTTGGTTTCCACAACAAAAGGGAGACCAGAGAGGTTGTTAGTGTTGAGAAGATCATTTACTTGTAGAGGTCAAAAGAGGAAAAAGGTGGTGCTGCTTGACATTTAACATTGTGAATGGTATCCTAATTACTTTTAGGGGACCTCTGAGGACCACTTTAGACTGGCTCACTTCATATTTGACAGAATGGTATGAAAAGATGACTGTCCTCACTTGACTATATGTGGTGTCACCCTTGGATCACTGAAGTTCTTATTGTATATAATACCTCTTAGTCATGTGCTGCAAGGTGGAGCAGTGGTTAGCACCGTCACCTCGCAGCAAGAAGGTCGCCAGTTCGTATACCGGTGAGGACACCTGGGATCTTTCTGCGTGGAGTTTGCATGTTCTCCCCGTGCAGCGTGGGTTCTCTCCGGGTTCTCCGGCTTCCTCCCACACAGTCCAAACACATGTTGAGGTTAATTGGTGATTCTAAATTGTCTCAGCAGCTTGAGTTGTTTTCTGACAGGAAAAACACGTGTATGGTTACAACTGTTATTTTTTTTGAGGGAGTTCTGAAGAGAATTTTTTATTTATTTTTTTTTAAATTGTTATTTCATTTTAAAGGTTTTGGCTATTTTTAATTGCATGGAATCGAATATGACAGCATGCAGTTACGAACAAACAAATTCTATCAGAACCAACTTAATTGTGGCTTTGTGGATCTTTTCTCGACCTCTAATTAGGAGCAGGATGCCAAAAAAAGCTGTTCAGTCATTATTTCTTTTAATTAAACAGCACTGATACCTGCTATGAACACACTGAAACCGATAAACTTCTGCTGTTCAGGATGTTGTACACGGCTTTTAATTAGAACTAAAAAGCGGGAGCATATGATGCAAATTGTTGTCTCTCCTGATTAGTTTGTTTCTGATCTGATCTGGAGATTTTACTGACTGACCTTTGAGCGCAGCATAGACTTCTGCCAAGTTTTCTTTCCAAACTCTTTGTAAAAGTACTCTTTTTTTCCCCCCCTCATATTCTGTTTTTTTAGCTCTTTGATTCTGAGGTAAAAGAAGAACTACACAAAACTGATGCAAAAAAGCACCAGTTTTGTCAAAAAGCAGCGCAGTACAAGCAGAGATATTCATGAGAGCGCTCCAGCTGTATGGTGTAGAAACCACTCTTTCAGCAGAGTCTCCATTCAGTTTTATTTTTCTGACATTTTCACTTTTCTTGGACACCTGACAGCACAGAGTAACTGACAGTCAGTGCAGGATGACGTATAATTAAAGTCTTGGTGTGAAATAAAACCAAGAACATCGTATTTAAAAGGTATCAAATTTTATTCACAAGAACACCCTGATTTTTTTATTTCTATTATGTGCAGGACGAGCGTTGGCAGGTGCTTAATTCACATTAAATCAGTGAGTCCTGAAAGTCAAAGGCTGACTCTACAAATCCTCTCATTAGTTTAAAAGCTGGACTGAGAGCCGACAGGGCAGGAGATCATGACAGATGACCAGGACTCTGCTCTACGTTCAGACGTTTGGTGGATGACTTATCCTGGCATGGATACACTCAGAGGGAACAGCGCTGTCAGCAACGCGACGAGGTTTGTGTGCGGATGTCAAAAAATTCCTGTAGAAAGTCATGTCGTACACCGAAGCAAACCCAGATGCACACAAATCTCAGCTCCGAAAACTGGCAAAATCCAGCCATGGACAGCTGGTTGCTCTCCATATTGTGTCACAGCATGTGGGCAGAACTGATGCATGCTGTGTGCCAACGTCAACTCCGGACTGTGTGTGTGTGCACTTGTTTGCAAGTGTGTGTGTGTGTGTTTATATAAAGAATGACTCTTTAAGGCCACTCCAAAGAGGCCTGATAGAGTCCATCCAATTTCCCGTCCTGCTGTGTCTGGGATTAGCAACAGTTTGTCAGCAAGGAACCAGAACAATCTATAGCATTGAGGAAGCTGTCTCTGCAAACACACTTTTAAAAAGACTCACCAAGTCACTTCTTGCCTGTCAGTCGGACATTCAGTCAGATACAAAGAGTCGATTAAAGGTACACTATTTGCAGAGAACTTACGGGCTACCTGTGTGGATTGGCCTGATAAATGTCCAAGCACGTCTCTTTGTCCATTACTTTGTGATCAGAGAGTCGAGGTACTTACTGCATTAATGCTGTGAAGATGCTATTTGTAGAGAATAGATACAATTTCAGGTCCTTTCAAAAAAAGCAGCACTTTGACAACGGTTGCTTGTTCTGAAGGTAAACACCCTGCAGCCAAACGTACGGCTGTAAATCTAGTCAACAAAGATTTCCAGTCTCTGGGCTGGTGGCTTGTGGAGAGTATTCAGTGCTGTCTCATATATTGAGAGGAATACAAGACAACGGTGTCTCAGAAGCAGCGATCTTGGATTTCTGAGCTGCTGCTGTTAATATAAAAGTTGTTTTTACTAATTCTAAAGTCCTTTTTTGTTGTTTGTTGCAACACGCATGCAGCTACAGTTCTGTAAATCACATCTTTTACATTTGAGGAAAAACAAAAATCAGAAACTACTTATCTCTCAAATTGTCCATTTTCAGTCTCAATTTTTCATATGAACAACTGAGCACAATGCTTCAAACGTCTGAGAGGAAAGATCGTCTAATAATATGTACTGCAATCCTATATTTAAACGCTGTGAACTCTCCTTTGAGCGTGGCTGCTCAGTTCAGGTCTGATCTTTTGATTTCCAATGCAGCAAACTGCTTCTTTCCATGTACAACTCACTCATTAACGGTCTGACACAGATCTCCGTTATCCGCTGTTGTAATGGAGAAAAAGGGTTTAGAAGCTTTTTAACCATCCAGACACAGAACACCAGCACCTTAACTTTGCATATAAAGACTTTTGATTTCCAGCGTGGTTTGACAACATGTTTTATGTAGCAAATGACCTGCAAACGCTCCAAACGGTCACTCTAAATCCACGCACAGC